GTAATGTAATGTATGACCATAATTTGTATCAATTGTATTTTTTAACTATTTAAATCTACGCCCCCCTTGGAAATCAGCCTTCGCTGTAGGGGTTAGCGTAGTTAAATAAAGTTTTACCTACCTACCTACCTACCTACCTACCTATCAATGGAAATTGAAAGTATTCAGAAGCGGGCACTACGGATTATCCAACCGGACTTCAGTTACATCGAAGCATTAAAAAAGGCAAAATTGGAAACATTGTACGATCGAAGAGAAAAGTTGTGTGTAAAACTATTTTCATCAATCGAAGCAAATGATGATCATAAGTTAAAGGAACTATTGCCACCGAAAAATTTACAACCAAACAATCTCAGAACAAACAGAAAATATAATCTTCCCAAGATGCACACGAACAGATTTAGTAATTCCTTTATTCCATATTGCGCACGTAATGCAACCTTGTAGGTAATTTCAGATCGTTAATATTTTAACTAGCTATGAACATACATTTACATTTAGATTTGACTTTTCACTAGAGACAACACAATATGTACAGTAATAAACAGGATATGTAAACATATATATAGGTACATACATATATTTATAAATATATATATATATATATATATATATATATATATATATATATATATATATATATATATATATATATATATATATATATATATACATATTTAAAAAAACTAAAACACTCCTACGCGTGCTTTAAATAGTACATATATTCGTATATTTTCACTCCGTAAATTCAATTGTAATTCAGTCACAAGACTGTAAATATTGATTTAATTAAACGTTCTATCTATCTATCTATCTATCTATCTATAGGATAGTATAGAGGAAATCACCAATACGTATATTATGCATCCGTATGGACGCCCAGTTTTGCACATGAATGTGTTCACAATATCCAACAAGGCATACTGAGCCATAGGCTATAATTGACTCACTGAGACAATAGCACTTGTCAAAGGTTTCGTCAACACAGTTAATGCATTTTAGTTCTAGGCTAGTTATAGCGTTGCTCAAACTGTGATTGCCAAACCCCGACTATGTTAT